TGGCGTGGTCATCTTTGCTGCAGCCCACAAATGCGCCAGATTGAGATGTTTGTCGTTTGGCCTCACCTGAAATGGGCTATAGTAAAAACTCCGATCTATAGCAAACAACTTCGTAAAGGGGTTATATTGGTGATTGAGGGTTTAGGGATTAGGGCTTTGGGTCTAAACTTCTTGATGGAGGTCATGTAGGGGAGTAATGTTGCAGTCACTTTTGTAAAGAGACCTTGGTTAAGGTGTTTTCGCCGCAGCTTGTTCAGGGTCTGGCCATTGTTGGGAAGACACTCTTTAATGTTTTGGGTTTTGGGGCCCCGGAAAATACGGGACCGAATCTAGACCATCCCTTTTAACATAATTCCCGAGGCCTCCCAGGGCCCTCAGGACCGTGGAGCCTCATTCAGAGTCCCTAATTTTCATTTTCTGGGGGCCCTATTGTTAGGGGGAGGAGGGGGCCCCAGGTTTAAAGTGAGTCCAGGATTATCTAGGGGACTATGATAGGGGTCATTAAGGGGACACTAGGAATTTAGAGTATCGCTCAAATGAGGGCTTGTATGCAGGATTCTACAAATGTTTCTTGTCAAGCCCTTCGACTCTTATGTACTAGCTTGGCACTCCGCTACACAGAATTGGTCCCTACACATACACAGTCTCTGATAAGTCCCTTAGTAAGCCATAATCCGGAACTACCGCTTTAAAGGGACTCCTTAAATGGGGTTATATAGGGGATAATATAGGGCACTATTATCGGGCTTATTAAGGGGGGATACTACGCGTGTAGACTATAGCTCATATGGCGCAAAATCAGACCAAACTCTATCCCGAACGCCGCCAGTCTATGCTCTGACTCTAGGCTCTCAATCCCAGTGTCTGCCAGGAAACAGTAATTATAGGGTTTTATGGATTGTACCAGTTAATTGCGGGTAATTGCCATTTGGTTGTAGGTCATTGTGCTTATGGGTTGCAGGCGCGGTGGGTCTTGAAAACTTGAGCCAAAGATTGGGATTTGGACTCTAAACCTTGAACTCCGAGCCACACCGCAAGACTTCCTAAACCCCCCAAAGGCGCCCATGCTTCTGACTAGACCCAATCCTTCTGAACATTCGTATGCATACTGTTGATGGAGAAATTCCTTCAAGCTTAACCTCCTGAAATGGTGGGGGACTATAGCACTTCCTTGACTCCAAGTGCTAAGCACGAAGATGAAAAAACAACCGAAGCTAAAGTCCAGCATAGGTCGGCATGATCACCAACCGGGAAGACTGCGTGCAGGGGGCTTAGCGCCCATCCCGGGTCAGGAACTGGGACAGGGGTAGGGTGGGCTTAGCTTGCCCTCGACCCACCCTAAGTCCTAAACGTAGGCCCTAAATCCTAAACTAGACCGTAAACCCTATACCCTACCGAGAGAGGGGGGTCAGTTTCATGAAGACTCAACCTTTGGGCATTCATTGTCAGGCCAACACATTGGTTGGGATGGGTCTATTGAGGGAGCCTGGCTTGCTTTCAGACTTTTGAATTTTGTGAGCTTCGCGGGGTGGGAGGTAGGACTACCAGGGTCCCCCCTCAACCCAACATTTGGCACCTCAAACTCCTGAGGGCTAACTAGCCCTCCTATCAGGGCCTAGTATTGTTTAGGGTTTAGGGTTTATGGTTTAGGTAGATATTGGGGTTATGTTGGGATAATGGAAAAGAAAATGGAAGCTACTATTTAAGGTTTAGGGTTTAGGGTACTAATACTCCCCAATAATCTTCAAATCAAGGCACTGGTTTTGTGGATGCCCATATGGGTAGTTGTCAAAATGATGGTCCCTTTTTGGGTACCCCAAATATTAGGTGCCGTATTATAATAGGGATCCAAAAGGGACCATAATTTTGACATCCACCCATATAGTGGAAGGGGGGGGGAGCATAGTAGCCCTATGAATGAGGGTGGCTACATGGCGACGGACTAGTTATGCTATGTCATGAGCTTGTCCCGGCGCGGCCTTGGCTTTGGCTTATCCGCACTATCACCTAGGCGGCAAAAATCTAAACTCCGAGCATTAAGACTTATGGGAACATCTCTGAGGCAGTCACTTGGCAAGAGAAGGTCACTGGCTTTGAGCAAAAGCACGCGGCCCTAATTATGGAGGCTTGCCACCTGACAACTACCCCAGTAGTAGCCTTTTGCCCTTTTAATTGGGGGTCTCCTTATTAAAGCTGAATAATAGTAGGAAAACGGGTACCCTTATTATTAGTGGGTTTACTGGGGAACGAGTATCCAGATGTGGGGGTTTCCATTGGTCAAGGCAGGTTCCTTACCATAGCTTCAATCACCCTAAGCTTTAGTTAGCCCGGTTTAGGGTTTAGGGTTCTACACACTAAGCCTGGGAACCTGCTAGATGGGTAGCTAGGCTAGATTTCTAGAGCTTTTCTAAGCCTACGCGATCTGATGACCTTAGGGCTAGGGTTCTTCAAAAACAAGCGCCTTTTATGATGTGGGCTACATGGGGCTCCAGGTTAGCTGGGGGGCAGACCATGCCAGACCACTAAGAGCCCAATGCTGAGCACCAAAACACTAGTGACCAGACAGAGGTACTGTTTGCCCAAGGCTTGAACCCGGCTTAGCGTTACTTGCTGAACTCCACGCCTTAGACTCTAAACTCTAAAGCTTACACCCTAAACCCCGTGCCGTCTAACCGCATCTAACCCTTCATCTTAAGCCCTGTAGACTAGCCTATAGGCTCTGAATCCCAAATCCTAAGCCCGCGCTCCACAGCCCCGAACCCCGAACCCTAGGCAGGACAAAGCCCAAGTTACAACTAGGTAGTAAAACCTTACGACTGATAACCACCCCTAAGGGTCCAGGGACTCAAATAATTAGGTTTTAGGGCCATATATCCCTATATATCCCTTGTCACCCCTTTAAAGGGACCCTATTATTTGGGTCCTTGAACCTTTAGGGGTTCTATGCGAACAGCTTTGTCTCGTAATGTACGTCAAGGCCCGACCTCGTCGAGCAAGGAATCCTCAAGAAAGTCGCCCCATGCAAGCTGGAGGAGTGGGATGTGGGGCTCACAAAGGTACATAGGGGTTTAGGGATTAGGGTTTAGGGCTTAGGGTTTAGGGTTGAGGGACACATGGGAATAAAGGAAGGTATGGGGTTTGAGGTCTGGGGGTTTAGCTCAGATTCTCAAACCCTAAACCCTCAAACCCTTAAACCCTAAACCCTTTAACCCTAAACCCTTGAAACCTAAACCCTAAACCGTGTTTTCGGAGCGCAACAGTGGTTCATGGGGTCTTGAGATTGTCAGGTTTAGGGTTGAGGTTTGGGAGTAGGCTGGAAACCTTAACTCCAAATCACTGGATGTACTAGTAATGGTAATATCTTAGGAAGACCCCCCAGCCTGTAATAGTGGTATAATAAGAATATAAGAGGACCCTAATAAGATCCCTATTATCCCTTATAGTCACTATTACTGGGTGGGGGGTCCACCTAAGTAATATACTAGGACTTGGGATGGTAGGTTGCGCATGCGAGGGGTCAGGGATTTTAAGCGGTACAGGGGCTGGAGAGCAGGAGTTTTCGGGTTAAACCGGGCTACAGGATTTGTGGGGACAAGGCGTGGATCAGTTTTGGAATTCAAGTTCCAATCGCTCGGCTGTCGGACTGCCCAGATGACGGGGATATTGAGGGTTTAGTTCAGGGTCTAGTTTAAAGCCTAGGTACCAGGAGAAACACAAGGTACAGCCAGGCAATATCCTGTAGTCCGTTATTTCTAGTGTCACTAGTTGTTCGTCATAAGTTTGTGTCGATAAATGGGGGGACCCCAATATAGACGCCAAAATATTGTGTAGTCCTTATCATAGGGACCCCTAAAATGGTTCCTTGAGTTTTGGGAAAACACCCAGAAACCGTCCTCATCTGAACTATCGTCTAAACTCCTTAACTGGGGATACATAGCGGATTCTATAGGGGAGTATTATAGTAGGTGCTATGAACTGGGATGCTTGGAGTTTAGACTTTCTAGCTCATCTGAAGCCAGAATGAGTTTGGGCAGGCAAGGACTCTAAAAGGATCAAGACTTTGCACCATGGTCGTGTCGCTGCTGGCTCAAAATCCCCAGTGCTCCAACCGCCAATTAAAGCAGCCTAAAATAGGGACTTTTTTTTCTAGACTTCCAGGCACAAGCTAGTCCTGACTTACGTGGACTGGCAAGCCCAAGTTTGGCCTTAAAACCCTTAACTCCTAAATTCTAAACTTACTCTAAACCCAAACACCCTAATTAATCCACTAAACCCCTAAACTCTAAACCCTAAACCCCTCAACCCTAAACTCTAAACCCTAAGCCCCTAAACCCTAAACCCCTAAACCCTAACCCCTAAACCCTAAACTCGAAACCAAGAGATGGCGAACTCAACTACCACTTCGGAGCCGACCGCCCTAGGCGACATGCCCGAAGAGTTGCAGATGCAGATGGCGATTGGCGCCGCTTTGGGATTCTTACTTTGCTGTTGCTGCTGCTGTTGCTTTTATTGCAGAAGATCCAGAAGACCCACCAGGAGTTTGAGATTAAATGATGAGAAGTGGAGCGAGAAAAACTTTACAACGTCTGTGGATGTAGAGAAGGTGTGGCGGTCCGAGGAAGGCTATTCAAGGAGCAAACTTAGAGTTGTCTGGGATATCGATCAAGACATGATACAGAAGTGGCTGCAGGGGCCGATGCCGCAAGACCCAGACAGTCACAACATTCAAGAGACTGACAGCGTTCAGAAGACTACTCAGTGGCTTTGCGAAGTTGTTGACAGTGATGGCAAGATCTTCCTCGGTTCTGACACATCGGCCTTTCAGAGCTCCGACAAGGTGATCGTAAGTTTTCCTGGCCAATATGGTCGAGCCTGGAATGAGCTGACGAAAGGTGCAGGCAGCTTGAAGACCTCATGTGTCTTCTTGCCAGACGAAAATTCGCCAGGCTATGGAGTGCATGTCCCTAATGATTCACAAGAGTGGTATGACCTACTTCGAGGCGTCAAACGCTGCTATTGTCACCAGCTCTATGGCAAGGAACAGAAGTGGGGCTGCAGATGGTTTCAGATGTGGGCGGAAAACACGCGTCGAGCCCAGGAAGCCAAGTGTTCCCTCGTCGTCATCACCAAGGAAGCTGGGTTGCTCTTGAGTAACACTTTGCATGCACACTTGAACCATCTATACGGAGGACAAATAGCCATGTTCATTGGCGCCTCAACTATACTCTAGACAATCTCCTTATAACTCCTGTAGGCACTCATATAATCCCGATATTACTATTTTTCCATTTTCTTTTCCATTCCTTCATTCCGTAGTACCTCAACAATATTCAAGGAAGACAAAAGTCTCGGCAATTCGCAGAAGGGTGAGGTTGCCTTTTTGGAAAACTCGGGTTACAAATACGAAGCTGTGACCGTGCGTGACTTTGTAGACTCGTTCCTGAAGGAAGCGCGAAGTGGTGAGGAGGTTGCGGTGTAACAGCATTTTCTGGGCTCAAGGGCCAAAACTTCAAGAACCCTAAGCCATAAATGCCTAAACCCTACGCTTTGAAATGGTTTCTGTCGTAGACACCACCTCAATGACCTGAAGTCCCCCATGGCCTTGCTGCTCCGTAGCCACCGCCACCCGAGCTGCCGCCAAGACTCAGGAACTGGGTATGACTTTTTAGGATCTTGTATTTGGGGTTCAAATGGGTTCGTTTTACAGGTGATATAGGGGCTATAAAGGTTAAGGGTTTAGGGTTACAATAGCGTGTATGGTGTAGGCTTTAGCCAGAGAGGTATGGGAAGGCTAGAGGGTTCTCGTGCTCTGGCAATCAAAGGCAAACTAGGCTGGATACGGTAACCTCCCCAAAGTAGATGCTGCAGTCGGAGTGCTCCAGACATTGTTGTTCTACACCTTAAACCCCAAACCACATGTTCTCTACGGCCACCTGCCTGCACTTCCAAGAGTGGAGGTCTGGCCACACACTCCAAGCCCAGAACTAGAAACACAGTTGATGCCAGGTCCTAAAGCCGTAACTTCACCCCAGGGTCCAAAAAGCCCAAAGTACTTGGGTTTTGGGTTTAGGGTTCTTTGATACTTCAGGGCCCACAGTAAGTGTGATTTGCTTGGATCCGTAGGGCTTAGCTTCAAACCCGCAGTTCCAACTGCGGGAGTTTTGGCGTACTAGCTCAACTTCGCGTTGCCGCTTCCTTCATGCAGCTGCAGCGCTTGAATTTCAATGCGGCTAGTGAGAGGAGAAATAGTTTGGCCTGCTGTTAAGGAAATTAATTTGAATTATTGTAACGGGGAAACCATATTAATTGCTATATACATATACCCACCATGGTAACTTAATCTAGGATTTAGGGCTGGGGCTTCCGAAGTCCAGGTGTCCGCAAACCCTATGGCTATAGTCTAATCTAGTATCCTCCTTAATAACCCTTATTATTGGGTTTAGGGTCTGAACTCCCAGTATCCCCTTTTACGAGCCCTACAAATATCCCCTGCACAATTCCTTTAAACCCAAAAGCCTATATGACCCTCTTTTAAGGAGTTTAGAGTAGAGGTCATATGGATTGCAGTATCAGAGATAGCGCCTTCAAGGTGTGGTAAAGCACGAAGTTGCTTCGTTGAGGGCGTTGGATTCAAGAGTTTTGTCCTGCCTACTGAGCTTTTACGATTGAGTCCCATGCGTTTTTCCTCCATACCCGTTGTCATAAGACTAGCGCCATAGGGCCAAAGCGCCTGGGCATTTCGTCGTAGTTAAGAATTCCTCGTAGGACCATACAACCCAAACCCTCGACCCTAAATCTTACCCGTTGTACGCCTGGAGCCCAAGACCTTTGAGTACTGTTTCCTGCTTGCGAAAGGCCAGTGCCAGTTGTCATGAGATCGTTCTGCGCGTGTCTACATGATTGAAAGTTTGGGTTGCCACCCTCACCGGCTCAGACATTGCGGAGGGCTTTATCTGCAGAGTACCATAATATGGAGGGCCTTGACATAAGGGAGCTTTTCTGTGTAGCTCATGGCTTCTTAGCGCGCAAGGCTTCTTAGATTTGAAGATTGCTAGCTGCTCCATGCCCAAGCACTCAAGTCATACTGGCCGGGCCTGCTCTAATATGGGGAAAACCAAGGGCAGCTGATCATGATGCTGGCCAGGTTAGCCCCATACGCAGAAAATCAGGGACAGCTGATGCTCATCATGCTTGCCAGGTTTGGCCACATGTGGGGAAAACCAGGACCAGCTGATGCTCGCCATATGGGGAAAACCAGGGGCAGCTCACGCTCATGACGCTTGCCGGACTTGGCTTTTTGCAAAAACCAGGGGCGGCTGATGATCATGATACTGGCCGGGTTTGGCCACATGTGGGGAAACCAGAGGCAGCTGATGCTCACAATGTTGGCAAGGTTTGGCCATGTGGGGAAGCCCGGACCAGTTGATGTTCGCCATATGGGGACAAACAAAGGCACTTGATGCCCATGATGCCGGCCGGTTCTGGCCATGTGGCGAAACAGCGGCAGCTGATGCTCTCACGATGCTAGCCGGGTTTGGCCATGTGCAGGGGACCAGGGCCAGCTGCTGCTCATGACGCTGACCGGGTTTAGCCGGGGCCAGCTGACGCTCATGATGCTGGCCGGGTTTGGCCATGTGCGGGGGACTAGGGGCAACTGATGTTCGTGATGTTGGCCATGTTTGGCCATTGCGGGGAACTAGGGGCTGATGCTCATGATGCTGGCCGGGTTTGGCCATATGGGGAAAACCAGGGGGCAGCTGGCTGGGTTTGGCCAGATGGAGCAAACCAGGGGCAGCTGATGCTTATGATGCCGGGCGGTTCTGGCCATATGCAGGGAACTAGGGGCAGCTGATTCTCATGATGCTGGCCGGGTTTGGTCATGTGTAGGGAACTAGGGGCAGCTGATGCTCGTGATGTTTGCCGGTTTTGGCCATGTGCGGGGGACCAGGGCCAGCTGATGTTCATGACGCTGGCCGGGTTTGGCCATGTGCGGGGGACTAGGGGCAGCTGGTGCTCATGATGTTGGCCAGGTTCGGCCATGTGCGGGGAACTAGGAGCAGCTGCTGCTCATGATGTTGAGCGGTTTTGTCCATGTGCAGGGAACTTGGGGCAGCTGATGCTCATGATGCTGGCCAACGATGCTGGGTTTGGCCCTATGGGGCAAGCAGAGGCAGCTGATGCTCATGATGTTGTCCGGGTTTGGCCATATGGGAAAAGTAGGGGCAGCTGATTCTCGTGATTCTGGCCGGCTTGGCACATTGGGGAGCTTGAGTACAAACCCTAAACCTGCAACCCTGGGCCTAAAAACTGCTTAAAACAGGTATTGTTTACAGACTTCAGGGGGGTTTAGGGTCTGGCGGTTTAGGGTTCAGGGTTTGGGGCTAAGGCGAGTCAGGCTTCGATTATTATAGACTTGGATACCAAGGGTAAGCCTTAAACTCTAAAAAACATAGAGTTTTGCCATGGTGCTGTAGGCGCCTTCCGAAATAGGACGACGTGGCAGGTGGTCAGGGTATCGAAAACGGTGCAAAATGTTATGTTAAGTGCTTTGGGGGGTTCATTGCATGCAGTAGCGAAGACCTTAGGCCCCAGGATGCGTTTTAGTCTGGAGACCTGCTGCATTTTCCACTGGATGAGTGGAGAACCGCCAGAATTCGAAGGATCTCTTGACTCTGTCACTGAGTCAAGTAGCAGTTTGTTTCAAGTAGGGTTTTGAAGGCTCTATCCCTGAGTCAAAGCGCTTGTTAGTTCAAGTAGCGTTTTGAAGGCCAAATGCTGAGTGCCAGCGTCACACCAGATCACACAACGTTTCCCAAAGCCCGACCAAGGACACAAGCACCATGGTCATGCTTTGCCTACCAGTGGTCTGTGGAGAATACAGCAGAATCATAACTTATAGCAGCCCCTAACTAGCTGCAAATACATACACATATCTTTGATATATGTAGAGACAGAGCGCGAGTGTGATGTTTTCCATAGTCTTTTCCGCTCCTTCATTACCTACTAACCAGCAGTGACTTTGACTGCGCATTTCGGCCGGCATAGGTTCAGGCGAAGCCTGCAGCGTTTTGAAGCTTCTCGGCTCGTTGCCGCCCTTGGGCATTACTTCATCTTTTGCGACGAAGTGAAGCCTACGCTTAGGATCATATAGCTAAGATGCGTTTCTTGAACCCTACTTGGAGGTCCATTGTACTTATAACCTACTTAGTAACTGTAGTTATAACTTAGATATAAGTCCCATAACTATAGGTACCCTAGATATAATTGGGTTATAACTACAGTTACTAAGTAGGTAAAAAGTACAATGGACCTCCAAGTACTACCCTAGACAGGGCATATACCCTGAATCCCACACCCTCTAGGATTCATGCCATCCCAGAGGATTCTTCCAATGTTTTAAGATGCATGGGCGGCTATGAAAAAGCAATGAACTTGAGAGTTCGTTGTTCTTGTGGCGCTTCTGGGCAGCAAAATTGTCAGCTGGAAGCCCTGGGTTTAGGGATTCCGGTTAATGAAGAGGTTCAGGGATTCCAGTTAATGAAGAGCGTAGGCTAAGGAAAAATGCTTAGGAAATTTATCGGAAAGGCAGCTAAGGTTCAAGCGTTGAGGTCTTAGGGTAGTGGGTTCAGACGCGCATTCAGGGGATCGCGTTGGGTTGGGGCGTGGATGCGTTGAGGACTTTCGGCTCTACCGCTAATCCCTACTCTCCCTAAACCCCTACACCCTAAGCCCTAAACCCCTCAAACCCTAAACCCCTCAAACCCTAAACCCCTAAAACCCTAAGCCCTACTCCCTGTTAACGTCAGATTTCCTTCACTCATTATTTATCAACACGAAGTGCAGTTGTAATGATCATATGAGCTATAGTCTATAAACTCCTTAAAGGGGGGTTATATAGGGGTTTAGGGATTAGGGTCGCGATTAGGGTTTAGGGTTTAGGAATTAGGGTTTAGAGTCTTAATTCCTTAAAAAGGGGCTTGTACAGGGGATTATGTACGGCAGTAATATAGGGGTTAGTAAGGGGGAAATCAGGATTTTAGACTATAGCTCAAAGGAATTGAATTTTTCCCATGGCGAGGAGCGCCCGGCTGATAACCCGCAGCCCGAAGCAACCCTAAAGTTCAAGAACATCCCTTAAGGGTCCAACGACCCAAATAACAAGGTTTTAGGGCCCAAATACTCTAATACCAATGGTATTTGGGCCCTAAAACCCTATTATTTGGGTCCTTGGACCCTAGGGATCTAGAAAACTGAGCCCTCGGGCTATCACTGCCCATAGACTGGGTTGCTGTTAAGGAACTTAAATCAAGTCACCATATTATGGTTTTGAATGACCAATAGGGTCCGCTTATTACAGCAATTTAAAAGCAACCTAGTAGAACGCAATCCGAAACAGATGAAGCCTCAGACCCCAAAGCTCCCTTCCTGGCAGGACTTCCTTGGGGAATACCACTTCCTGGGTGTGCC